ACCAGGACATCACACAAGCGATAAACACCCGGTGGCACAAAGTACCACCATGCGGATAAGGATAACCCGTGGAGAGGTCCCAGAAACCCATTTCAGCTGTTATGGCCGCAATTGGGGCCCAGCTATGTTCAGGGCACCCAGCAAAAGCCAGGGTTGGGTTTTAAATAATAATAAAACAAAAAAACAAAAAAATGCATCCCACAGGGGGATGACACTAGGATACAAACTGAAACATGCAAAAAAGATGAACAAATCCATAACTCAAGCCACCTGAGAAGCGCAAGACAAACACAGAAAACCACGACACTAGTCTGCAACCTGGTATCAGTGAGACGACAAAATAATAATAATAAAAATAAGATCTTTGAAGAAGTTTTCCCTAAAGATAAAATCGAGGAGATTAATCAACTATTTCACTAAGGGAACAATAAATCCAACATATTAATGACACAATGTTAATAAGATTGTCTCATTATTCAAAATACAGTTTCTTTCATAAGCATAACCCAAATCGAAGCAATATGCAAAACAATTCAAATTACATATCGATCATTTAAACAATTACACGATATATAAAAATAAAATAACAAATATCTATACTCTGAGAAATCAATTAACGCTGTATATCCCAATTGTAATCTGAGTGTTGAACAGGATAGTGTTGAAAAATTATTACTACTACTTCTACTTGTTAAAGCATAGACGGTTTTATATTGTATATCATTATGATACAAACTGACATTTACGTGGACCAGCCTGGCACACACACACACAATTATATGGGTAGCCTTCTTCGAACTGAGAGTCGCCTTGGCGTTGGCGGTTTGACGCCCGCCTTCGGATCGGAAGGTTGTAGGATCGCGTCCTGGTGGAGCCGGGCTTTTTTAAAAAATGAGCTTGACTCCCAGGTCGACCCAGTCTTAAGTGGGTACCAGGTGCAGTCCTTGGAAGTAAAAAGTAAAGGTGAATATGGGTGCTCTTCCCATATGTCCATTGGGCCTAAAGGGCGTGGAAAGGGATCTTTACTTGCAAACATTTATTAGCGGCGTCCATGGCTTAGGCGTTGCGAGTCCGACTCGTAATTCCAACATACAGTGATCGAAACCCACAGCCGGCTGCGTGGATTTTTATCATGGTGTGGGGCGTCGCAGGTCGACCCAGCCTAAAATGAGTACCACGATGGATGTCCTGAGGAAGTAAAGACGGTTGGCGTAATGCTGACCACATTACCCACCTAGTGCCGATTGGTCTACAAAAATATGGGTGCTCTTCCCATATGCCCGATGCGCCTAACGGCATGAAAAGGGATCTTTACTTACAAACATTCATTAACTGCTTACTATGCAGAATAGAGAGAATTATACGGTATAATAGAATTAACTTATGTTGAGTTTTGGGAGAGAACTAAACAAGTTCCAGGGGACAAGAGGTGAAGAAAAGACGCTGACTGACTATTTGAGGTCCTTCACTCACAGGAGATTTGTAGAGGTTTTCCTCAGCCCCTAAACACTTTAACAGAACTAAGCTTTCTCTCTCTCTCTCTCTCTCTCTCTCTCTCTCTCTCTCTCTCTCTCTCTCTCTCTCTCTCTCTCTCTCTCTCTCTCTCTCTCTCTCTCTCTCTCTCTCTCTCTCTCTCTCACCCAGCCATGTTCTGTTCAGGTTTATGTTTACGCATTTGATTTTATTTCAAATCATTACCGAGGAAAAAAGGGGCATTTGAACTGACATACTATGGACACATTCCCAGAAAACCATAGACTAGTGATTCCAAAACTGTGCGCCGCGGCATCCCGGGGAGCCGCGACCTCTTCACAGGGGCGCCGCGAAAAATTTGAAGATACGAGAGTTTTTTTTTTTTTTTTACTCTTACATACGAATAGTCATACTTTTACTTAGGTTAGGGCGACGAGCGAAAATTTTGATTGAAAAAAGGCGCCGCGACTAAGAACATTTTGGGAAGCACTGACATAGACCAAGAAGAAAAGCAATACTGACATCCTAAACTCCTAAACGATATGAAAATTAAGGAAGTTAGTTGGTCAGTTAATCGGCTGATCATCCCCATTGCACATCGGAAAAGCCTTTAAAGCGCTCGGATCTGATCTTTACTATCTCCTGATATTCTTGCATGTAGGCAGGAGGAGACATAGACAACAGACAGCTCAAAAGCTAAAGGTGAGAGTAGACAAAGTGAAAGGCTGGTATACTGAAGTAAGCGATGTCATCAATCCCTCTGGACGGTAGAATTGTTAGACCTGAAGTCCTAAGCCACACAATAAACAAATAAAACAGTAGGCATGCCGAGGTACCTTAGTATCACAATCGTTAGAAGCCTGTCATTCAGGTACCACTGGGAGGCAACTCTAGGATAAAATGCCAAAGGGACAAAATAGACTGAAAATTATGACAGAAATGGACAGAAAAAAATGCTGTTCACCGCGTATTAGCACTTGATTACTTCTGTGAGGAATTATAGACTGAGGCTACATATCAAGGAATCAACTGGCGACGCTTGAACGTATACAGAAAGAAGCCATGCAGGTGATTCTTGGATGTACAAAAGACACCTTAGTAGTCTGCCTCTTGTGCATCTTTGCACTGCCAACTATTGCAATCATTCTCAATCAGTATAATCCTGTCGTCTTCTTGGGAGATGCAATTGTTCTCTATTTTGAAGCCCCATTATGGCTCTTGCCAGGGACCGTAATATAGCCTGACCATAAATATGGTCTAATGACTGAAATCGGTTTCTGGGACCTCTCAACGGAGATCCTCATCCACATGGTGGCACTTTGTGTCATCGGGTGTTTATCGCTTGTGTGATGTCCTGGTGGGGTAAAAATCTACTCTACTAGTCATTGTCAACATAATTCTTCTCCTTGTGGGATGCAATTTTTCGTTATTTGAAGCCCCACCCTGGCAGTTTTCATGGGCCGCAGTATAGCCCGGCCATAAATATGGCCTAATGGCTGAACGCGGTTTTCTGTGACGGTGATCCTCATCCACATGGGGGCACTTTGTGTCATCAGGTGTTTATCGCTTGTGTGATGTCTTGGTGGGGTAGAAAGGCTGTCAGTCATTCTCAAAGTGCTGCAAGCCAAGTCATATCTCAGGGTAGCCGCTGACAAATACTGTTAAAAATGTTGAATGTGGGAGGATCTACTTCAATGCATTGGGTTTTATCCCATATGACTTGGTCTCTTTCCTCCCAGTCTCTTGCCGATAGCGTCACACAAAGGACGAACTCCGCAGCTAGGAGGAAAATTCCAATGGTTATCCGTAAAAACTGCACCCGTGAACCGAACAATGCAGTAGTGAATTGAACCCACGACCTCAGAGCGCGAGGTGAACGGCTTGACCATTTCGCCACGAAGCCCACCCCTTCTCACCCTTTTGCTCTCCCCTGGTAAATACTTGTTTCTTTTTTTTGGTGTGTTCACCGGCTGTAAACTTCAGTGGAAAGTTCTGGTTGTTTGTTCACGTCTGGACTTTAGTCTTGTTGAAAAACGTAGGTGTTGCGTGTACGTCTGTTTTACAGATTCTGCTAATTTGTAGGCAGACTGTTGGTCCCTTGCCTCTCAAGCAGAAGCACTCCAGCTTCGAAGAAAGCACCCCTAAATAGTCGACGTTTATGACATGCTTGTTAAGGGGGCAGTGGGTCTATTCTTCCTGCCCTCCCAATGGGGCCCTGAAGCTCACACAGGGTTGTACAAGACAAAGATGGAAGATAAAATCTTGGACCATAAATTATTGGTGCACAATTTTAAAATTCTGAAATATTGCAGTTTTTAATATTGGAGGTTAAAAAAAAAAATGTATTACTTCCGCTTTCCGTTTTGTAAATGATTTTATTGTTTCACCTGAAGAGTCAACGGGCGTTCCATTACCGTTTCTGATCAATGTATTCACGTATTTGTGCAAGTGAGAGTATTTTGTGAAATCAGGGCGATGGCGGCATCCAGAAGGTAATTTTGTATATTTAGTTATCCAGTCATCGGTTTTTAAAATGTATTCCTTGGTTAGCGGTTCGACCTCATTTTGGCGACCAGTGACAGCTGATGAGATGACTTCGATATTATTAGTCGGATCCTGTGATTGGGGGTGGGGTGTTACAACTATAGATTGTCTCGTTGGCTGAAGTGTAAAGTGTTCCCAGAAACGACTTTTTCTCTTGTTCACTTTTTCATAGTTTTTTGTGTGTGTTGGTGTTTTGTTTTTGAGTTTTTGTTTAACATTTGTGCTCTCCTTTGAATCAACCCCCAAAATGGCGGCATGCCACATTCTGACCATAAAATATCCAAAAATATCCGAACGACGGAAAAATACGGACTTTCTGCCAAGGAACAAATCATGGCAAAACTAGGATTACTCGACATTGCACACTGTAGTAGCAGACAATAAATACCGACCGTTGACAATTTCGAGCGTTTCTGCAGACGATACTAGTAGAGGATATTAGCGAACGTTGACAATTTCAAGACATTACAGGCGATGAAAGCCGATTGGCAATACTGTGTTCTTCCGATTGGAGGATTTAGCAGCGGTAGATGTCACAGACTTGTCGGCATGCGACAAACGCGATTAAACTCATCGCCGAGGGTATCCCCCGCGCGTAGCGTTGCGGATGGGGGGCTAAACTAGGGACTCACGAGTAAAGTATTTGGAGGAAGTTGCTCGTGAGCCCCAGCCATCTAGTTTAGTCCCCATCTGCGCGTAGCGGCGCGGGGGATACGGTCGGCGGTGAGGCACACTCGCAGAAGCAGGTCCGCAAGTAACATATATCGCTGAGACCCTGTTAGAGCATTTGTTTGGTTATACGGAGCCCTGGCATATTTTTAATAGAACTGAGCCCCATTCGGATATTTTATGGCAAGAAATTGGCCAATTTAGCTCTCTTTCGAACGCCATCATATTAAAGCTGCCATTTTGGGGGTTGATTCAAAGGAGAGCCTTTATTTGTATGCTGTAATGTAGTAGTACTTAGTCGTTGATGTAATGTTATAGTCAATTCAACTATATCAGAGCAGATAATAGATATAGTATTTGATATGGTCAGATCTGTCAAACGGATGCACACGCAACACTCAGGTTCTGAAATAGGACTGCAGTCCAGAAGTGGACGAATAACCAAAACTTTCCGCTGGAGTTTACAGCCGATAAACGTGAAGAAGAATAAAGCTCTACTCCGAACTTCAACCCGATATTATGGCGGGCATAAAATATCCTTATGGGGCTCAGTTCTATTAAAAATATGCCGGCTCCGAATAACGAAACAAATGCTCTAACAGGGTCTCATCGATATGTTACTTGCGGACGTGTTTCTGTGACTGTGCCTCACCGCCGACCATATCCCCCGCGCCGTTATGCGCGGCGCGGATGGGGGCTAAACTAGATGGCTGGGACTCACAAGCAGCAGCTACCGCATCTCCTGCAACTTCCTCCAATTCATTTGCTCATGAGTCCCAAGCACCTAGTTTAGCGCCCCATCCGTGCCGCGTGTAGCTGTGCGGGGGATACGCTCGGTGGTGAGTTTAATCGCGTTTTGCGCATGCTATTATCGTCTGCTACTATCGTCTGCAGAAATGCTCGAAATTGTCAACGGTTGCTACTATCGTCTGCAATGTTGCATCTCTTGAAATTGTCAAGTAATCCTAGTTTTGCCGCGATTTGTTCCTTGGCAGAAAGTCTGCATTTTACATATGCCTGAGTCCCGTAAGGATATTTTATGGCCGCCGTAATATCGGGTTGAAGTTCGGAGGAGAGCCAAGAATAATGATACACTTGTGAATTTGCATTTAAATAATCAATTAATGACAAGCAGTGTCTAATATCCAAGCTTTAGGGGACCAGGAGGTGAAGAAAAGATGCTGGCGATGGATAGGACACACATTGAGAAAACCGGAGAACAATATAACTAGAATGTCTTTGCATTGAAACCCACAACGGCATAGGAATAAAGAAGGGCCAAAAAGGCATGAAGGGAGCTGGAGAATGAAGTTAGAAAGATTAGGAGAGCTGCATGCCATAGCAAAGGATAGAACGACTTGGCGTTTGTTGGCTGAGGGCCTGTGCTCCATTGGGGACTATAAAGGCAGAAGAAGAAGATGATGATGGTGGAGGATAAGGAGCGGTCGGTCTATCTGTTAGGTTAGGGACACAAAGCCAACAAGCTGGCACATATACCACAAAATTAGCCAAACACTTGGCACAAATAAACATGACATAAGTATAATCTGAGGCTACTTCACAGCTTTTCGTGGCCACCGTTATTTTTTATATTTTTTTTTTCCATATGAAATGGAAGACAAAAAAAAGGTGAAAGATGGAGGATTCAAATTGGGTCTCCCTGTTTGGGTTCTGGGGCCCTGTTATAGAGAAAACAAGAATGGACCCACTGCCTACCCAAAAGCATGTCGTAAGAGTCGACTAATTGGGAGCTTCCTTCGAAGTCAGAGTGCATCTCTCTGAGAGGCAAGAAACCAGTCTGCATACAAATGAGTCAGATCTGTCAAACGAATGCACACGCAACACTCAGGTTCAGGAAAGGACTGCAGTCCAGAAGTGGATGAACAACCAGAACTTTCCGCCAGACTTTACAGTTGGTGAACGCGAAGAAGAAGAAGAAATTTGGTCTACTGCATGAGAGTCCAGCATTATGACTGTCTGGCCAGCACCCGCTTGGTAAATATTTTTTTTGAAGAGTCCTAGACTGAAAAAGATTAGCTTACAGTTATCACTAGTTTTTGTATTTTTGGAGGAGGAAGTCAGTGTTTAAAATGGGCTTATCTCTACACTGATACAACTGCTGGTACGTGATGTGCAACCTGCAACAAGGAAGTAAAAAAAGTGCATAATTTGACATGACCAAGTTTGTGATCATATTGTTAATCAACATTTCTCATACTTTTTATTCGTACTGTTTAGCAAACTGTGTACAGCATTTCCCATACTTGCTTCTCTTTTATCTTCTTCTTCTTTGTTCACTGGCTGTAAGCTCTGGCAGAAAGTCTTAGCTGTTCGTCCATATGGACTTTTGCTTTGTGCCAGGGCCTTAGTTTTACGCATACGTCTGTTTTATTGACTTATTTATGTGCAGCTGGTGTTTCCTTGCCACCTGGACAGATGGTGTTTCCTTGCCACCTGGACAGCTGGTGTTTCCTTGCCACCTGGACAGATGGTGTTTCCTTGCCACCTGAACAGATGGTGTTTCCTTGCCACCTGGACAGATGGTGTTTCCTTGCCACCTGGACAGATGGTGTTTCCTTGCCACCTGGACAGATGGTGTTTCCTTGCCACCTGGACAGCTGGTGTTTCCTTGCCACCTGGACAGATGGTGTTTCCTTGCCACCTGAACAGATGGTGTTTCCTTGCCACCTGGACAGATGGTGTTTCCTTGCCACCTGAACAGATGGTGTTTCCTTGCCACCTGGACAGATGGTGTTTCCTTGCCACCTGGACAGCTGGTGTTTCCTTGCCACCTAAACAGATGCACACCCTAATTAGTCAACTCCTACGACATGCTTGTTGATGAGGCAGTGGGTTGATTCTTTTTTTCCCCCCCACAATGGGGCCCCGGAACCAACACAGTGGGGGGTCCTCTCCTTTATTACACAAGCCATATGGCTTTGGCAATCATGTTTTGTGTAGTGTTAGTAATTTCTAATACAGATGTCTGTCCACGCCATGTTTAAAACTGTCCAAGATCTTCTCTCTTAGTTTCCCTGTGTCTCTTTTACCCTCCAGCTTCACTGTTATGTTGTACTTCAGTTTTTACCTCAAAGAATTAGATTGTCTGCTTCTGATGCAGGTGATCAGTTTTTTTTAAAGTTATCTTCTTCAGCTGCCGGTATGTTAGCAGGGCTCTCACTGGAAGCAAAGAATAGTAACACACTGCACACTACCATGCATGTCGTAAGAGGCGAAGGGGTGACTAAGGGTAGAATTGGGCATGGAGTTGGCTACCTCATCCTGTAATGCAGGGTTTTTTAGTAATGTTTGCTCAGGGGCCACAGTTTTGGAAATGTAGGGATTAGAGAACATGGTTAAAACGCTAGGGAATATATGGGGTGAGCTGCATGCAGTAGGAAAGGATAGAATGACTTAGCGTTAATTGGTTGAGGGCCTATGTTCCATTGGGGGATAGAAGATAGAAGAAGAAAGAGATCCTTCAAGACACCTTTCGGTTTTTTTAATCTGTCATGATGTTCAGATAGTTTTCCTATAAAACCACGTCTCTGCAGATGTTCTCTCAATATATCAGTCAGTCAGACGGTTGCTGCCGCCACAATGAACTTTGGCTACAACTGATATCTGTTGTCCCCTGGCTGGTTGTATGGTCTCTCCGACTACTGTTTGTCAATCTCTTGATGTTGTCCTCCAGCTTGAGTAACTGTAAACTCTGAATATTTGGCCTTCAACTATTCCCTTCAGTGTCTTTTTTAAAAGAGTGTTTTCAATGAGCTTTTGATGTATAATAAAATACAGTTGATTATTCTTAGTTAAAACAATAGTGATATCTGCAGTCTTAAAAATTGAGATGATATATGAAATAAAACTGAAAAATACTGACACAATGTGTTGTTTTTGTGAATCACAGATGGTTCCACCCAAATATCAGCGGCCAGCAGGCAGAGAAACTGCTCATGGAAAAAGGACAAGACTGGAGCTTCTTGGCCCGACCCAGCAGTACAGAGGGAGCCTACACTTTGTCAATCAGGTTATAGAACACAGATTCTTGATTGTACCACTGTTGCTTGTTATTCTGTTGTGAAACAATTAACAGCTTTGCCAAGTATGGTTAAAAAAACACCTGGTTGTTGCCTAGTTAGTTAGTCGACACATTATCTTCATTACACCTTGAACCACCTAGTTCATAAGTGCTCGGATTCCTTCCTCAGTAAATTCTGTAGCGTGTAGCAGCTGATAACACCAGTTCTGTGTTGGTTTATTATTATAGAGCATTCAGTATATTGGCCTGGTCCATGGCTTGTCCGGCTTTCACAGTAGCCTTACCTGCAAGTGTATCAGCTTGCTCATTTCCTTGTGCACCCACAGTTCCTGGCACGAAAATGAAACTAATCCATGTCAGCCGTGAATTCTGTAGAGCCACCAACCACTGCCTTTGGAACCCAGCCCTTCTCTATCTTCCTGAGCATACTCATTGAGTCAATGAGAAAGCATGCCACAGCAAAAGTCTGTGTCTCTAGCCATGTTACTGCTTTAGTCACAGCCATGACCTCCATAGTCAGACTACTTATAGTTACGGCAAAAGCCACAAAATCTTCCTTCAGAACTCTCCCTCCAACCTGTGCCATGAAAGCCCACTAGCCTCTAACATGGCGGATGACAGACCATCTGTGTAAATGACAGCATCACACTTAAGAGCTTTCTTAAAAATCGTGGCTTGAACTTCTGCTTCCACAGCAGCTGGACTCTGTTGTCTGCATTTTCTGTCTCAAGTGAACATACCTGTAAAATAATATCCTCGGCTTGACCAATCCACGATTTTCCTCTTTTTAACCTGCTGCCTTTTATCTTCTGAATTTCACTATGTGATGGATGTTGTGTGTCCGCGTTGAGGTAGGCACGAGCTTGGGAAATTAGTATTCTGTCCTCCATGTTTAGAAAATCAAGAAGGTAGCGCATAACTCTGCATGCTGTATCTCTTGTACGCCCAAGTATAATGTGCATATCCTCGTTCTGTATCCTTTCCATCTGCTTATGGCTGTCAAGATCGCCATCATGTATTCAAAAACAGAAAGGACCAGACCCTGGTATAGAAGACATAGATGACGCTCTTCACAGTTTGTTGATTAATCTTTTCTAAAGGCTTGCCTAATGTATTTAGCATAGTGATTATCTGATATCCCCTAATTTGTGTGTGATCTTTGCAATTTTGGGCATGGGTATCAGATAGCTGTGTAACCACTCTTCACTGATACTAGCACTCGCAATACTATTATTTTACACATTTGCTAGCTCTTTCAGCTCATCTTCTTTACACTCCGATCAGGCACATGTACTGGGCTTGTCTGCCCACTCAGGTTTGTAGGGGCAATGAGCAGACTGATAGATTGGCTGCTGCCGCTCCTTTCAGCAACAGTCTTCTTCTTCTTCTTTGTTCAGCTTTAAAAAGATGAACTTTGGCAGTGTTAATTTAATCTCTTCCATTTAAAAGTTATGCGATGTTACATCTCATTCTAGGGCAAAAATTTGATGAGCCTGACCTCTTGTCTTGGAAAACTATCCAGGTACACTCATATCCTGAGGTTCCACTGTACAAGAAATGACCTTCTGCCAGCAACAACATAGTGCAGTAACAGAGAAGTGCTGATTAGCCAGAGTTATTGTTGACTGTCTAATCGGATCTTTCCACTTCTGATGATCAGGTGGCCTGGACCTAATATTTTCATTTTCAGCTTTTCGAGTACCAGAAGATTTAACAAAATGTTCCCAGCTTTAACAATAGTCGCAATGAATATAAACTGATTAATATGACTGTCACAGATGCAGCATACACATGAATAGTTGAATATTAGAATAGCTAGCCAGATTTCGGCTAGATGCTCGCCGCAGATCGGAAGCAAGACTTTAAAAAAAAATGACCTTGGCTGCCAGGTCGACCCAGCCTTAAGTGGGTACCGGGTGCAGTCCTGGGAAGTAAAGGCAGCCGATGTGATGCTGACCACATCACCCATCTTGTGCCGATTGGTCTATATGCCCTATTCGCCTAAAGGTGGGGAAAAGGGTCCTTTAGTTTTTTTTTTTATTTCAGCCAAATTTATGTTTAGGTTACTTCACTTTGTTGGCTGCTTAGTCGTAAATATGGGCATTACCTGATTGCATAGGATTTGTTGGTTGGGACTCAAGGAGTTTAGGGCCCTTGAAGTGTTCTTTGAGGTTTTTAAGATTTTGAACAAGGTATCAACATCATGGCACACATTTAGTAATCCATAACGGCTCCGTTCTTCTTCTAACTCAAGTGTGAGTCCGAAGAAGCTCAGGACAGTGCACCGGCGAGGATCCTGAAATACTTTGGATAGATTTTCAACTCCAAATTTTGCCAGGGTAGCTCCGTTAGGCTACTCTTTTCGATTTCCAGCTGCCAAGAGATTTTTTTTTTACGTGTGCAGCAATGCACACAGGCATCTGATCTCATTACCCAGAGACCAGGGGAAATTACTAAAAGTCCAAGTCCACGTAAACAAAATTCCAGCCCTTACCGGGGATTGAACCCGGAACCTCTAGCCCTTGAGGCGGACACCATGCCTCTAGACCACGCAGCCCCCTCAAGTGTTCTTTCTGAACATTTAGTAGTAATTCATGGTTTTGATTTCAGGCGCAACGGAGAGGTCACACATATAAAAATTCAGAACACGGGAGACTCGTACGATCTCTATGGGGGAGAGACATTTGCCACACTCTCAGAACTGGTACAGTATTATATGGAAAATCAAGAACAGCTGAAAGAGAAGAATGGCACTGTCATCAAACTGAAGTATCCCATGGCATCAGTTGACCCCACACCAGAAAGGTAATCACAGGTCATGTTTTCATTTATTAGCTTTCCTTGTGGGTTTTGGTGACCCTTTGTGGGTGCGAAAAGGGGGGGGGGGGAGAAAATGGTGCGGGGGGGGGGGGGGGGGGTAACTAGAGTAGACTTTCCCTCTCCCTAACAAACATATCTTCAGAGTCGACTAATTAGGGGTTTTCTTTGAAGTCTGAGTGAATCTGCCTGAGAGGCAAGGAACCAACAGTCTGCATACAAATCAGCCAACTCTGTAAAATGATATACACGCAAAACTCAAGTTATTAGCGGTTGAATAAAAAGCTGCTGAATACCTTTTGACATCTTGAGGTACTTCATACATGACACTGACCCTGTATTTATATAGAGCAGTCGACACTCAACATGTCCTCCTTTACCTTTACACCCTAAGTAGCCGAAAAACTGACATTTCCAGTTGGGTTTGGTTCCACGCGAATTTCACTTTTCCGACTTGCCTATCCTGACCTATTTATGAGATATATAATTAATGCAATTGGCTGATTTCGCGCCAGCACAAATGTTCAGGAGGTTTGGATACGAATAAATTAACTGACTAGCATTTGCATTTTGTGTATGCGTGTATATTAAATGGCTTTTTTCAAAAGCCAAGAAGATGTCAGATTTTCTCATAAGCCTCAACAATGAAGGTCACGGGATCACGGCATGAGCCACCCGATAATTGTATGGTTTTTTTAATTCGGGGGGGGGGGGGGGGGGTGTTTCAATTCAATGCTTGGCCCAGTTCATGTTTAATGTTTATTGGATACTCCCTTCATATATCTTTATACAAAGTCCGACAATTAAGTAATGAGACTGATTTTATTATGGCCAAGACAACAATGCCATCTATGAAGCAAAGCATGGAATCTAAAGAGGCAACATTCATCTATGATCTGGCAGCTTTTCATCACCCTTTGATAAGCTGACAACAAACAAGCTGCCATTTTGGTCCAGTTCATGTTCAATGTTTATTGGATACTCCCTTCATATATCTTTATACAAGGTCCGACAATTAAGTAATGAGACTGATTTTATTATGGCCAAGACAACAATGCCATCTATGAAGCAAAGCATGGAATCTAAAGAGGCAACATTCATCTATGATCTGGCAGCTTTTCATCACCCCTTGATAAGCTGACAACAAACAAGCTGCCATTTTATTGACCTATTCAGAGGTGCATTGTTACGTAATCAGCAGGGAGAAAAAAGCTAACACTAAATTCTTTTTAAAACTCAGAAAAAGCGCTAATGAAACAGTTGAACTGATGCAACACATTTATGGGGATAATTGTTTATCTTGTGCACACATTGTCAGGTGGTATTCACGATTCAAAAGTTGTGTGGAAATGATTACTAATGCACCTAGACCCGGATGCCAAATTTCTGTTAGAAATGATGAACTCATTGCAGAAGTCAGAGAACGGATACAAGAAGATTATTGTTTTACTGTGAGGATGATGGCAGATGAATAATAGAGAGACCATTCATAACATTTCAGAGCAAGAAAAGTTGCTTGCTGGTTTGTACCACATTTGTTGTCTGATGACCAAAAACATAAGCAGTTTGAGTACCCGAGAGACACCAAAACAAGAATTTTTGGCCCCAAAACAAGTGTGTGTTCTCAGCCTTCCACCCTATTCCCCAGATTAGTCTCTCTCTGATTATTTTCCATTCCCAAAATTAAAGTTACGATTGAAAGGACGCATCTTTAACGATATTGATGACATTTAAAGGGCCGTAACATCGACTTAAGGGCCATAACAACAGAAGAACTACAGGGGTTGTTCCAGTGTTTGTTAGATCGTGCCACTTGCTGTATACAGGTTATATCTTCAACTGTTGATTATTTTAATTTTTATGGAATCAGTCTGAATGCCTAATTGTCGGACCTTGTATATTTCAAACAATAATTGTCTTTGTTGAGACTGCCATCTGTGTGCATTTGTTTCACACAGGAAAGTGATGGACATCCTGTATATTATCCTTATCACCCCTTTTAGGGTGCAATCCCTCATTTAAGCCGTACTCAGGCAATTTGAAGCCTATCGCTGCATACATTACGTCCTTGTTAGGACGTTATTTTTTGTTATTTGAAGCCCCACTCTGGCTTTTGCCAGGGGCCGCAATATAGGCAGGTCATCATTATGGCCAAATGTCTGAACGCGGTTTCTGGGACCTCTCCACGGTGATCCTCATCCGCATGGTGGCACTTTGTGTCATCGGGTGTTTATCGCTTGTGTGATGTCCTGGTGGGGTAGAAAGTCAGTCAGTCAATTTGAAGCCCTACTCAGGCTCTTGCCAGGGGCCGCAATATAGCCTGGCCATAAATATGGTCTAATGGCTGAATGCTGATTCATGGACCTCTCCACAGTGATCCTCATCCACATGGTGGCACTTTGTGTCATTGGGTGTTTATCACTTGTGTGATGTTCTGGTGGGGTAAAAGGAGATAGATAGACATCCTGTGTTTTTTTTTTTAATTATTTTTCGCTCCTTCGTGGAATGTAATAATTTTTTTTAAATTTGAAGCCCCACCCTGTCTTTTGTCGGGGGCCCTGAATATAGCTGGGCCTTAAATATGGCCTAGCCACAGATATGGCCTAAACGGCTGAAAAGGGTTTTTGGGACCTCTCTACGGGTGATCCTCATCTGCATGGTGGCATTTTGTGTCACCGGGTATTTATCGCTTGAGTGATGTCCTAGTGGGGTAAAACTACCAACCAAACAACATCCTGTGTGGTTTTCCATTGGGCCAGGAATGGAGCAACTATGGAGTGATCTATTTGCTAGGAAGTTAAGAACTGCAATTACCTGACATAGAATGTTGAATGTTCAGTTAAGAGTTGATATCACAGCACCAGAGGCATTCCCATAATCGCTCTGTCCTCGTCTACAGCAGCAAGTGAAGAGTTCCAATTCCGATGGCACCAGTAACAGTCTCTATATCTGTCTCGCATTTCGAAGTGCTGAACTGCACAGAGTGTTGTATTAGGACCAGGACTTATACTGTTCAAGAATTATATGCACCTCTCTGTGGTTGTTCTAGAAACGGTTCCCAGTCGGGAACCTTGCTAGTCTGGAGAGGATCGACAATTTCTTCAAAGTTGGAGTGCATCCACCTGAGAAGTCTAATGTCAAGCAACCAACTGCCTGCACAAAAATTAGTCAGATCTGTAAAACAAATTTGCGCAGTCTCAAATCTTGGAACAAGACAAGCATCCACAAGGGGATAAACAACCAGAACTTTCCTCTGTAGCTTGCAGCTGACAAAGGTGGAGAAGAATATAAAGCATTTGTATTTGGGTAGTTTCCTTCAAAGTCAGAGTGCAGTTGCCTGGGAAGCAAGGAACCAGCTGTCTGCATACAAATAAGTCACATCTGTAAAACAGATGTGTACACATCTATCAAGTCCTGGAACGAGGCAAAAATCCAGAAGTGGATGAACAACCAGGACTTTCATGTGTAGTTTACAGCTCATGAAGGTGAAGAAGAACATAAAGCAGTTGTGTCTGGGTAGTTTTTAGCGCATTCAAAAATAGCTCAACCTTCCCGCAGGTGGTTCCACGGTCACCTGACTGGCCGGGAAGCAGAAAATCTGTTGAGGGAAAAGGGCAAGAACTCTAGTTTTCTTGTGAGAGAGAGTCAGAGCAAACCTGGCGACTTTGTTATATCTGTTAAATGTGAGGACAAGGTCACGCATGTCAAGATTCGATGCCAGGTAATGTTTCTAAATATTAACCAAATTTTATGTTGAGTTAAGTTGAATCAAGAATTGACATCACAGCACTCGGGGCATTCCCACTCGAGCTCCGTCCTCATCATCAGCAGCCGGCGTAGAGTTCCAGTACTAATGGTGCTGGTTATAATCTGGTTTTATGTCTGTCTTGCCTTGCCTCTGAGTGTAGTTAGCCGGCCAGACCCTCTAGTTACACCCAGGTGCATCATTCTTTTCAGGCTATAATAATCTTTGTTTCTCTTCTGACTTCGTTACATGTTACCAAAAGGAATTTTATTTTGAGTAATTACAGAACAGAATAAACATACTTTGTATAGTTTTGATCACTTACAGTGAAATGCAGCTGCAAGAAATAGTAAACATAATTGTGACAGAAAGTCAGAACAAAAAACAGAAGTAATGGTAATTACATAGAAAACTAGTCCTAAAAAGAAAAAGGGAAACATATAAGTAAGCAGGACAGGTTGATAGCAATTCATTAAATTTAAATATTGACTGCTTGTTGGAAATGGGTTTTGTTTGTCCATCATGAGTGATGAAGACCACTTTCATCCAAAGTAGTAATGGTCAATGATTATGAGTACGAAGGTGGCTTATTAGTCCAATATGAGCCTGGACAGTTCTTGAGCAGTGCGGACAACAGATGGAAGGTGTACTAAGTGTGGGATTAGCAGTACGATTCTTTTAAGTCTGCCTCGGTTTCTCTGTTGCCTGGCGGGCCGATGCACCATTCAAGAGGGACCTACGCCATCCAGAATGGTCTTGTCCAGCAGCCTCCCTGTCTTGATGCCAAAAGAATTGAGAGCAGTCTTAAGTGTGTCCTTATAGAGCTTTTTCTGTCCTCCCTGTGACCTCTTCCCTTGCTGGAGCTCGCCATAAAACTATTTATTAATCAGTGTCAATTGTGTTTTAGTTACTTAATGCGAAGTAATAATTGAATATTAAGCAGTGTTTAAAAAAATGTAGATATTTATTGTAAATCGTTAATTGCTAATTTATTATTTGTTAATTGAGTAGTGTTAATTACATTTTAGTTGCTAAATGTGCAGTGATAATTGCTTATTTATTAATTATTATTTGGAAAATATTAATTAAATTTGTATTAGTTATTAAATGAACAGTGACATTTACATTTTTTTATTGTTAACCAAATAAATAAGTAGAAATTTTTTTTTTTTTTTTAGATTGGTTGCTCACAGAGCATTGTTAATTACTTTAAAATAAGTTGGTCAGTTAACTTAATTGTAATTTCATAAATATTGCTTTTAACTCATTCGCTGTATAATATATTAATGGGCTTCAGTGGATTTTTTTTTTCAGGAAAGATACGCGCAAGTGATATCTCTTCCATATAGGTTAAAAAAATATATATAATGAGTTAACAAAACAATCTCAGAAGCTGAAATAGAACGTTACAGATCCGTTACAGGTCATTGCAGAACTAACCCCAGCATTTTGTTTTTGGTCATTTGTAATTTCGCTATTCAGATTGATGTTCAGTAGTTTGCCATTGGTTTTAATTCTAATGTCAAATCAGTACTGCTGTATGGAGCGGAAACATGGAGAGTAACTAAAACAATTACTTTTTTAAAAAAAACTACAGACATTCATTAACTGGTACCTGCGCAGAATAGAGGGAATTAAATGGTATGAGAGAATTGCTAATGTTGAACTTTGGGAGAGAACTAAACAAGTTTCAGTGGACCAAGAGGTGAAACAAGATGCTGGTGTTGGATAGGTCACACGTTGAGAAGACCTGAAAACAATAAAACTAGAATGTCTTTGTACTGGAACCCACAGTTATATAGAAATAAAGGCGGATCAGAAACACACAGAGAAGGGAATTAGAGAAAGTTAAAAAGACTGGGAGGATATGGCTGAGCTGTATGAAATAGTGAGGGATAGAACGAGTTGGCATGAGTTAGTTGAGGGCATATGCTTTATTGGGGAATAGAAGGCAGACGGAAGGGGGAGTTTGTCATTGCTTTATGAATAGTTGGATGTCGATACCATTGTTGAAATCAAATGCAAGGAGGTCTACTGCAGAATCACCCACAGCTGGGATGGAACCCATCACCTTGGAATTACAAAGCGCTCTCACAACAGCTAAGCCACGGACGCCAACAAAGTTTGAAGTTTGAACAATGGATCAACATCATGGCACACGGGTAGTAACCCATAAGTGCTCCGTTCTTCTAACTTAAGTCTAAGTGCGAAAAAGCTCAGCACAGTACACAGGCTCTGTAGCACCGGGGAGGATCCTGAAATACTTTGGATAGATTTCCAACTGCCGAGGGATTTTTTTTACCTGCGTAACAATGCACACAAGCTTCCGATCTCACTACCCAGAGACCAGGGGGAATTACTAGAAATCGAAGTCCACGTGGAAAAATCTGAACCCTTACCGGGGATTGAATCCGGAAACTCTAGCATTTGAGGCCGACACCATGCCTCGAGAGACCACGCAGCCCGACACTAACAAAATTAACTATATCTGGCTCAGGCAATATGCTGTGGGGAGGAAGAATGATAGGTTGAAAGCTGGGTGTCTGAAGAAGAATCACATTGAATACATTTAATGGCAGCGATGGTCCTGAAATCCTATAATCTAATTGTGGACAATTTTTTTCTTTATACAAGCAGGTCTTGCTAGTCACACTTACCATCACCGTGGACTATGATTTCCCTGCCTGCCTGTAGTTACTTGTTGTCTGTATCGATATTCTGACATATCGATCTGTGATCTGACCCATTCAGATTTTTTTCTTTATACAAGCAGGTCTTGCTAGTCACACTTACCATCACCGTGGACTATGATTTCCCTGCCTGCCTGTAGTTACTTGTTGTCTGTATCGATATTCTGACATATCGATCTGTGATCTGACCCATTCAGATTTTTTTCTTTATACAAGCAGGTCTTGCTAGTCACACTTACCATCACCGTGGACTATGATTTCCCTGCCTGCCTGTAGTTACTTGTTGTCTGTATCGATATTCTGACATATCGATCTGTGATCTGACCCATTCATATTTTTTTCTTTATACAAGCAGGTCTTGCTAGTCACACTTACCATCACCATGGACTATGATTTCCCTGCCTGCCTGTAGTTACTTGTTGTCTGTATCGATATTCTGACATATCGATCTGTGATCTGACCCATTCAGATTTTTTTCTTTATACAAGCAGGTCTTGCTAGTCACACTTACCATCACCTTGGACTATGATTTCCCTGCCTGCCTGTAGTTACTTGTTGTCTGTATCGATATTCTGACATATCGATCTGTGATCTGACCCATTCGATCTCCAGTGAGGCATTTCATGTCTCCATGCGCAATGTGCCCAGTTGACTGGCATAGGCCTATCTTCTTTCTTTGGTCCGCAAAGCATGCATGCCCTCGTTTAATACCCATTTCCAACAGGCAGCTCATTTTCTGTGACTCTTTTGTCTCAGCATCTCTGGAACACAGCAACACCAAGGCCGGACCACACGTCCACCTTGGTCAAAATTCGACTTCCAATCTCTAGATTACAATTCCTTAACAACATTACGTGTTGTTTTGACGTCCTATTTGCTCAATCAGCATTTTTGTGTTTCAGTGCATATCCGCGCGCGACAATGTTCACCTTCTGTTTCGCTGTTCTAAATGATGCTCTTATTATTCAGGGACTCGCAGCTTCCCATTCTATTAGTGCCCTGTCTTTCTTTTGATAGCATCAGGGCCACTCCTTCTCTGTGGGGCGAGTTTTCCTGCGGGTGTCAGACTCTGCTGTGCTAGAGGCATAAGTTACGGGAACTTGTTGACTCTGCCAGTGTATTTATCTTTCTTTCTTTTCTATTTCTGTTTTTTTTTACACACATTTTTATGTGTGGTGGTAAATGCTGATGTTTCTAAGTCGCATAGGTGGTAATTTGTGGAGTAGGTATATTTTGATAATGAGAATATAATGTAGCAAATGAGTTAAAACATGGAGCTGACTGATTGGTATTTAACATCTATTGTCTGGTGCAAAAAAAAAAAGGGTTCTTTGTTAACATTTCAGGGCAACCAGTATGATGTCGGCGGAGGGGAGAAGTTTGACTCCTTGACAGAGCTCGTGGAACATTACAAGAAGAGTCCAATGGTGGAAACTTCAGGCACAGTAGTTTATATAAAGCATGTTAGTAATTTATATAAAACATCTTTTTAGTTTATATAACATATTGATAGTTTATATAACATCTTGATAGTTTATATAACATCTAAGTATCTTGTATAAAACATGTTAGTAATTTATATAAAACATGTTAGTAATTTATTTAAAACATCTTGATAGTTTATATAACTTATAAGTAGTTTATATAAAACATGTTAGTAATTTATGTAAAACATCTTGATAGTTTATAAAACATCCAAGTATCTTATATTAAACTTTTTGGTAATTTATTTAAAACATCTTGATGGTTTTGTATAACATGTATGTAGTTTATATAAAACACATTAATAATTTATGTAAAATAGTTTATGTAACATGTAAGTAGTTTATTTAAACCTGTTAGAAATTTATATAAAACATCTTAGTAGTTTAATAAAATACATCAGTATTTTTTTAATGTCAGTAGTTTATATAAAACAAATTAGTTATTTATAAAAAACATCTTGATAGTTTATGTAACATGTCAGTAGTTTATATAAAACAAATTAGTTTTTTATATAAAACATCTTGGTAGTTTATATAAGATGTCAGTAGTCTGTGTAACATGTGAGTAGTTTATATAACTTGTCAGCAGCTTATATAAAAAGGCCCTTTTCCACATTAAAGGCGTACTTTTTTAGTTCAGATACATGTGTACACCAGTAGTTTATATAAAACATGTTGACACGTAATAGTTAACATATGTCATGTTATGCTGTATAAAGTGTGTTCCTAATTTATATAAAGTTTTTTGTTTTCAAATATGTGTATGGTCTCTATAATACAGATTGATAGTTTATTTAATATATGGTTAGTTGCTCATCTTTTACAGGAAGTTGCAGAACCAACCCCAGCAGCCCCTGGCTGTTGTGTGGTTTCTCTAGGCAAATATATGTCCAGTAGTTTGCCATTGCTTTCTGGGCGATTTAATATACTACTCGCTAAACTTCAAGAGCAACCCTATTATTTTGAATACGCTTTTATTAATGTAGGTGCAAACAATGGTCATACACGATTTTGAAATGTCTAGTTGTCCAATATCAGTTGTGTGATTTTTGAAAAGGTGGGTGGCACACCTCACAGCTTCGTTGCTTTTGAAGGTGTGATTCCATCTCTTTACCTGACATGTTAATTTGGTATCCAGTAAATACCATTTTCACTAATATTTCTTTGTTTGTGTTAGATTTGTTTTATGGCTTCAGCCAAGGTGGCCCTTAACATTTGACGACTAGTGTAAGTCAGTAAGATTAACATTTTTAGAGCATGCATCTTCCATGCAGCGACATGCAGTTGTGAGTCATGGACTATCTCCCAGTCCTTAAGAAAGAAAATAGGGGCTTTTGAGCTTAATTGCTACAGAAAGATTCTCAGGATATCATGGAGAAAGAAGAGAAGAAATACTGACATTTTAGAAGGTCTGAAGGAAGATTGGATAATAAACAGCATCTTATCTCTGAGGCTGAAATATTTTGGTCATATTAAGCATCATGGCGGATTGGGAAAAAATAATAGCAGAAGGCATGGTACCAGGAAGGAGAGGCAGGGGGCCGACTAACACGAAGAGGGGCACAGGATATAAGTGACTCCTTGAAAGTGAAAGTACACGAGGCCGCGGAGCCTGGCTTGAGACTGAGTATCTTTCAGGCAGACTGTAATGTGACATTCTGCAAAGGACCTGCTATATGATGGGTGGTATGTCAGTATGAGGTGAAATCTGGTGCGATGATCAGTCCTCTTGACAATATGACCAGCATCATGTGCCCTGCCAACTGGCAGATTCCTGGTTGCATGGAACAGCTCTCTTAATGATATCCCTCTATACCATCGTTTTAGCCCGTCCAGCATCATCTCTCTTGGTCTGTTTCTACCCCCTTTTTCCACTGATCTTTACAGTTGTCACGATGTTCTCCAATGTCTCTCTTCTCATTATGTGGCCAAAGAACAGTGTTTGTCTCTTTCTTATTGTTGTATATAGAGATCTACTTTAATTCCACTGTTCTAGCTCTTGGCAATATGAACCACAGAATTCTAATGATAATTTTTAACAGTGAAGCTGTATGTATAGTAATGTATGTTCTGTTAATTTGACAGCCGCTGTATAATAGCAGAGTTATGGCCTCGTCTCTAGAGAACAGGATAAAACAGTTGCAGACAGAAGATGATGTCAGTCAAAAGTCCAACAATGCTTTCCATGAAGGGTTTTGGGGGGAATTTCACGTGAGTAAAATTTTTTTACTTGTGTTGCTGTCTTCATGTGTCCTTGATTTATTTTCAGAGTAATGAAGGATATCACATATAATTTAATATGTCCTTTTACTTTCTACATTTGGTCCGACTAATGAAATCGCATCATGAGAGCTGAAATGGTTGGGGCATATTGAAAGAATGTCAGATGACAGAGAAGTAAAAACTGTATACACAAGGGAGATGAATGGTCATAGACCATGAGACAGACCAAGAAAAAGATGTAGAGAAAATGTCCAGACAGACCTGCAAACACTTGGTGTCACCAACTGGAAAGAGAAGGCCAACCAGAGAGATAAGTGAAGGCAGGTGATATCTGCAGCAATGAACCTCAAGGGCTCGGAATGCTGAAGAAAAATAAGAAGAAATAATGAAGGATATCTCAGAACAGTCTGTGGTCATAGTTTTGCTAATAAATCTCAGCCCTGGAATAGTTCTTCTTCTTCTTTGCCTTCACTGGGTGTAAACTTCAGTGGAAAGTTCTGGGTGTTCATCTACCTCTGGACTTTAGTCTGGTTCCAGACCCTGTGTGTTGCATACACATACGCTTCTTACATTTGGCTTAATTAATATGCAGACACTTGGTTCCTTGCCTCTCAGGCAGATATACTCTGACTTTGAAGAAAGCCCTGAATTAGTTGACTCCTACAACTTGCTTGTTGGGAAGGCAGTGGGTTTATTCTTGTCCCCCACCCCCTCCCACAACGGGGTCCCAGAACCCACACGGGGAGCATAAGTGCAAACACTGAGACACATGATTTCTTTGTCTTTATATACCAAAGGGGGAATTGGGGAATTCCAGATGTAGTTAATGTTTATTTTAACTCTTTCACTACTAAGTTACATGTTGTGTAACCCACAGTGTGGACACCTTGTGAAGCTCAAATATCATTTAATATGTTTTTTTACTTTCTACATTTGGTCCAACTAGAGAAATCTGACTTTTTTCAGCCCATGTTGTTTGTTTTCATATGAAAGCCATTGTTTCATTTAAAAAAAATTTCCTTGGAACATCTCCTATTACACCTTCTTGGTTTTTAGTAAATAAATAAATAAGTCACCATCGCCAGCTAATCCAATTCTAAAAAAAAAAAAAAAAGAATGATGGTAAATTCCCCCCCAAATTTCCAGTCCCGTAATCATTATGAGTCTTATACATAGGAGCAATATTATACTTGGGGAAATACAGTATATACAAGCAAAGGACCAGGCTGATATACTGAATGCTCTAAGAGAGTTAAAACTTTTGCGTGAATCAACTGAGAACTGTGAATCTGCAACTATGGTCAGACTGCAAGAACAACATGTTAAACGGGGTGTCGCCAAACAAGAACACTACGCGGTTAGTCAAAGAAGAAGAATAATTAAACCAACACAAAACTGGTATTGTTAGCTGCTACACACTGCAGGATTTACTGAGGAGGGGATCCGAGCACTTATGGACTGAGTGGTTCGACGTGCAATGAGGATAATCTGTTGACTAACTAACTAACTACACTCTGCCCATTTGTTTTCATGTTATGACATACTCAGATGATCTTTATTATGTTGCAATCTGTTGGATTTCAGTAGAATTGTTTTATTCACCTCAACAGCAACTCCAGCAGGCTGAGTTTGTGGGCATGCGTTACTCTAGAGAAAAGGGAAGCAGGCCAGAGAATAAGGCGAAAAATCGATATAAGAATATTCTACCATGTAAGTGTGATTAATTACGCCAGTTTCAGTTGTACAGATAAAAGATCTCTTTTCACGCATTTTAGGTGTATCAGGTAAATGGGAAGAGCGCCCATATTGTTACAGACTAATCAGCACTAGGTGGGTAATGTGGTCAGCATTACGCCAGCCGTCTTTACTTCCCCACGACATACATCCTGGTACCCATTTTAGGCTGGGTCGACCTGTGACGCCCCATACCATGATAAAAATCCAGTCAGCCAGCAGTGGGTTTCGATTGCGGTACGTTGGAATTCCGAGACAGACTCGCAACACCTAAGCCACGGATCCCGCAGTTGTACAAATATAAAACAAATATTTGAAGAAGAAGAAAAAACAATTCAAGGGAATGTTTCCCCGTTCTGAATTAGAATAAAAATGACTTTTTGTTTTTCAGTTGAAATTTATTTATTTGCTTCATTTTAATCAGTTTGATTTAAAAGATTGTGCAATTTATTGTTTGTGTCTTCTGTGTTCAAATACTTTTCATAAAATGACCTCAGCTGCCAGGTAGACCCAGCCTAAAATGTGCACCACATAATGTCTGAGTAAGTTGAGTTGAACTAAGTCAAGAGCTGACAGCACTTGGGAAATTCCCATACGTGGCCCATCACCATCTTCAGGTGTCAGCATATAGTTCCAATTCTAATAGTACTTGTAGCAGTCTGATTGAATGTCCGTCTTGCCTTTCCTCGGAGTGTTGAGTGTCGGCCAGATCCGCTGGCCACTCCCTGCTGCACCCATATCTTCAGACTATGATTATCTGTTTGTGCCCTCTCATTGTTCACTCTCTTCCAGAAGGCCTTAATAATACTGAGTTTGTCATGTATCAGTTTATCACCAGGTGATACAGAACCAGCCAGTCGGTCTGCTCTTTGTTTCCCACCACGCCTGCATACCTGGAGACAATATCCAAAGTACCATAGTTAATTACAGAAATGGTAGCATCGTAGTTTTGATGTGTAGCTTGAATGGGCCAACTTAGGATCAGATTAAAAAAAATTATTTAGAAACGCGTCATAATGAAAGTAATGAAGTTAAGATACATCAGTTATGTGAGATAAAATTATAATATTTGTGCGAAAACCTTACTAGTAAGAAAAGTCAAATCTAGATGAACAAGAGAGACAAACAATAACACATGCGCTAAGATAATACCAAGATGTATAAGAAGCATTCCCCCTAGCCCAAATTAATTCTGAAACTATGTAGGTAAATTTCCTTTGATATGAGTAGATAATAGTTCTTTTTAATTTGTATTTTTTTTAAAAATATCCACAAACTATGAGTTGTTAACCCTTTGTCTCAGTATTATGGATATCCCAACCCTTTGGCCTTGATTCCATGATAGGTACTGTAAATCTGGGAGAAATGTGGCTTTTCTGCCTACCTAAAGGAGCGAACCCGGACCGCAAGGGGTTCATCACCCAGTTGCCGCAAAGTCATGTTTAACCAGCTACACTAAAGAGCCGGGCTCTTAGTTTGTATACAGGCATACAGGCTGATCTGTTTGAAGAATCATGTGTACTGATGTTTCCATTCCTCAGATGATTACACAAGAGTGCTCTTAACTGACGGGAATGAGGATCTTGGCACCGATTATATCAATGCTAATTATATCACCTGGGTAAGTGGTTAATGAAGTAGGGAGCGGATGATATTTGGCAGTAGTTCACCCTCCTCTTATTTTCAGAGGTCTTCCACGGACCCAGTACTTTTTATTATCTTCTTCTTCTTCTTCAGCATTCCGAGCCCTTGAGGTTCATTGCTGCAGATATCACCCGCCTCCATTCATCTCTCTGGTTGGCCTTGTCTTTCCACTTGGTGACACCAAGTGTTTGCAGGTCTGTGTGGACATTATCTCTCCATCGTCTTCTTGGTCTGCCTTGTGGTCTAGGACCATTCATCTACCTCCTGTAGTTTCGTCGCCCAGCTTCTGAGTTGAGTGCATGGCGTGACACTGTGAGCTGCGTTTGTTTTTCGTTGGCACAGGAGCGGAGCATCTGTGGGGTGACCCGTTTGCTATGAAGCTGAAACTAGGATTACCAGATCTACCTCGTGTATACAGTTTTTACTTCTCTGTCATTTGACATTCTTTCAATATGCCCCAGCCATTTCAGTCTATTAGCTGTCATGATGCTAGTGATCAATGGTGATTTAAACAGTTTATGAATTTCGTTGTTGCTTCTCACTTTCCATTCCCCTCTGTTTACATCTTTGATGGGTCCAAAGATTTGTTGTAAGGCTCTGTTTTCAAAAACCTGTAATAAGGCTTCATCTCTTTTAGTTGTGCTCCAAGTTTCAGAGCCATATAAAACGACTGGTCTTATCAGCGTTTTATATATTTTGATCTTGGTGTTGAGAGACTTTTTGTTATGCATATTTAAATACCAAAAAAGTAAATCTGTATTAGAATCGGCAGCCGTCTTTGGTGTAGCGATTAAGGACTCGCTAGTGGATCCAAGGGTCGCAGTTTTAAATCCACTTGCAGCCAGATCTTTTCATACATTACCTCGGCTCCCTGGTTGACCTAGCCTTAAATGGGTACCTGGTAAGGTCTTGCACAGTAAAGGCGGTCGGCATGATGACCCCTAACCCATTGAGGGCCTTTGGTCTATAAAAATGAGTATCTATGCCAATGCACCATTGGCGTGTAAAGGGATTTTTACTTTACTATGTCATGCACCCCTTACATTTGTTAATTGAGAAATATGAGATTTTCTTTCTGGTGAAGTCAAACCAACATTGTTTTCTTTTCTTTTTTTAGACCAGTATTTTAACCTCTAATGGATCTAATAGTTTATAAGGGTGAATAAAAGTATAAATATGGAATTTTAGAAGCTAATTGTGCAATCTGGCCTATGAACCAATAGTAAAAATTATGATTGGACATAGAATGTTATGATTTCTTGCCCAGAAATTTCATCTGAAGGATATTTTCTTTGGTTCTTTAATGTCGTCAATCCATATTCTCCTAGAGTGACCTCTTGCTTTCACGTAAGATCTTTTTGTGTGTAGTGGTTATTGTTTGTAGTTATTCTGGCTGCATTTGAACAAGATGACCAAACCATTTGGTCTTCTATTTTCCCATGAATTTGGTGCATTATGTTGTCCACAAAGTCTGTCTGATAGTATCATTTCTGACTTTGTCTTGGATGGTTAGGATGGTGGCTTTCTTGAGCATCTCATTTCACAGGTGTTAATTTTAGTTATGTTAGACTTTGATATTGTTTAGGTTTGGCCCTGGTAGCACAGCGATGATATGAATATGCTGTTTATAATCTCTTTCTTGGCAGTCATACTTATGTTTGGATATTTTAATAACTGTGTCACTTGGTATAAAAGTGCACTAGCTCATTGGCACCTTTGTTTCTATTTCCTGATCTATTCTCTCATCCTCCAAGAATATTATTTATAGTCACATCTGAAACGGTGTTTTAATATGCGCTAAACTGTATCTTTCTTTTTCTTCTCTTTTCAAAATTGTTAATTTTAATTTTGTTTTTCTGGTTGTGCCCTGATGATGCATAAGACCTCAACCTGCTTGCATCAAGCATTTAATTCTTGTTACAGCATTAAACTTTTTTGTCATGGTTGTTTATCTTCTGTGGGTGAGACATTTGAGAGAGATGGGGCTAACAGCTGCATCTACTTCAACATTTTCTTTTAACTTTCTGTTCTTCCTCCTCTTCATCATTTATCTGAGTGACGTAATTGCGTTGTGTCTGTTTAAAGAATGGCTGCCTTACAGCCAACACATTCGACTTTACTGGCATTTGTTCACCAGGTTAAACCTTGCTCACTTTCTTTTCTATCACTTTGAGTATCAAAGGAGATACAGAGTTCTACTTTTTACTATTTTAACCACCTCAGATATGGTACTCTGTACTCTGTTGTAGAGTTTCCCAGGAGTTATCTTTTCATATTCTTCTGGTCTACCTCATGTTCTACCTTTGTTACACTTATTTCCTGTTAGTTGTTCAGTTTTGAGTTTTTTGGTTTGTTTTTAAATTTTTTTTTTTTTAAATGTCAGTCTCTTCAAGAAAACTTTCTCTCTGATTTCAGACGGATGATGACCAATTGATAGAGCCAAAGAGGAAATACATTGCTACCCAAGGACCGTTACCTGGCACAATGTTGGATTTCTATCGCATGATCTGGCAAGAAGGGTCAAGAGTCATTATTAACTTGGCCAGGATAACAGAAAGAGGAAAGGTTTGTTAAAATATTTTGTATGATTCGTCACCTAACAGTTCATTACAAGTCAATAAGGGAAGCAAAGTCTTCCCAGAAACACTGTAACCTACAGTGCATGTCATTGGCAGACCGTCTACCACACCCAGCTGAAAACTGCAAAATCCAACCAATCAAGAAAAGGTTTACTCGGGTTAAACCACAACCAGTAGAAAATTTTCACTGCAATATCCAGCCGAATCAAAATCAGGTTTACCAGGGGAAAACCACAGCAAAAAGAAATAAATCCAACCAATCAAGAACAGGCATTTCTGTAAACATCTATTGGATATTTATAGGGAGATGTTGAAACCAGCCTCTCTCCTTTTCAGTAGGTCTGACCACAGGTCTGAAACCAGGCCTAATCATTTACTGTTTGAAGCAACAACTATTAACTAAAGACATATTTAGTTAAAGTAAAACTTACCTGGGACTGAAAGAGTTAATTGTAAAGAAGAAGGACCTGTTACACCTTTTGTGTCCTTCCCCCCCCCCCCCCCCCCCCAATGGAGCACAGGCTCACACCAAGGTGTCCTAGCCTTTGCTATCACATGCTGATCACTTACTGTCCTCCTCCTCCTCCTCCTCTCTCTCTCTCTCTCTATATATATATATATATATATATATATATATATATGCATATACTGTTAAAAAAAAGAAACACATAGTTATCCGATCGCGCATTTTTATTAGTTTGTAAACAAAATACCTTACTCGGGTATGTGAAAAGCAGATTTGAATGTTATTTACAGTGTCCAGTGGACATGTGGGCGTCAATTGCATGGGTTTTTGTAATCACTACAACACAGTGGCCAAATGTGTTTAAGACCAAATTTGTGAGCATAGCTCACGATGTGCACACGAGAAAGCAACACAGTTTGCGGTAAACACTAGTCACTGCCTAGGCAACTGAAATCCTTTAAAAGGATAACGCTGCACAAAAACGATCAGTTCATTTTCAAGCAGTCACGAATGGCGTCTCTATTGATAAATTTAAGGAAGGTTGCTATTGGCCAATTGCAGGCAGGTGAAAGTCAAAGTTAGGTTGCCAGGCATCTAAACAAGCACCTGAGTACCATCAGTCGACTTTGGCACCAGTTCCAAGAAGAAGACCGACATTGCAGTGGACGACCCAGAGTGACAACAGCAGCGGAGAATCGCTTTATTCGGCTTCGTCACCTTAGAGACAGGTTACAAAAGCTTCCTCAACTGCACAGGCATTGCCCCCAGGACATCATGTGCCTGATCAAACTGTTCGGAACAGACTGCATGATGTTGGACTTTGAGCTCAACGACCACACTGAGGACCTGTCCTTACGTGTCGCCACCGCCAAAATCAACTTCTTTGGGCCAATCAACATCGTCCCTGGGCAAGTGACAATCAGTGGAGACGTGTCTGGTTTAGTGACGAATCTTTCTTTTTGTTGCAGCGTCATGATAGACGGCGTAGGGTCTACCGTAAACAAAATGAAGGTTTAACCCAAAATTGTGTTGATGAAGCTCTGCTGCACAGTGGTGGAGGTGTAATGGTACGGGGAATGATCAGTTACAACGAAAGGAGTCATTTGGTGCTCATTGAAGGAAGCTTGAATGTGCAACGATGCGTCCATGAAATTCTTCGACCACATGTCCTTCCATTTTGGGATGCCAACAGATACCTTTTACAACGTGACAACACCAGACCCCATTCTGCACAGTTGACCATCCAGTTCCTGGTTGCCAATATTCCCTGGCCATCCCCGTCTGCAGACATGAGTCCGATTGAGCACCTGTGGGATGAGCTGCAAAAACGTGGTTTGTCACCGAAACGTTGCTCCAGCCAATGGTCGTGATCTGTTCCAGACACTCCAGGAAGAGTAGGCATCCATCCCACAGGCCCACATCAGACATCTGATCGCATCCATGCCCAGGAGATGACAGTCACTGATCCACGCAAGAGAAAGCCACATACCACACTAACGGGAAAGGCCTACGCTTAAAAACTATCCTTCGATAGATGCAAAAAAAAAAGTGTCAAATGATTGGTGGAACCCTAAGGTATTCTTGTGTGAAATTTGAGTAATTTCACTTAATGCTTTACAAAGATGTAAAATGTCAAAATTGTGAATGGATTTGTTCTTTTCAGTAACTATGCATTTCCTTTTTTGAACAGTATATATATATATGTATTTCTTAAGGGCCATGGGTTTGTTTCACGGCTGCGGCTTTCAGTTCACAAGTGCAATTTTTACGGAGATCCCTGGGGATCGTTGCCGGGGCTATGGAGTTTGCGCTCTGTGCGGCGGTCTCGCAGGCGGCTAGCCGTTCTGCGGAAGAGAGACCGAATCGTATGGGATAAAACCTGGTGCAGTGAAGTCGATCCTCTTGACTTTAACCATTTTCTTTACTCCTGGAGGATCCAGTAAAAAGACATTCTAGTTACACTGTTATCACAGTTTCTTAACTTGTGCCCCATCCAACACCAGCGTCTTTTCTTCACCTCTTGATTCACTGAAATTTTCTTAGTTCTTTCCCAGAACTCCACATAAGTGATTCTGTTGTACCATTTAATTCCCCCTTTTCTGTGCAGACACCAGTTAATCTTCTTCCTCATATTCACCAGCTGTAAACTCCGGTAAAATGTTCCGGTTGGTCGTCCACTGTTGAACTTTGGTCTTGTTCCAGAACTTCTTTTTTACCTACGCGTCTGCTGTTCAGATCTGGGCTGTTTGTATACATGCCTTCCTGTGTGGGTTGTGGGGAAGACAAAAATGGACCCACTGCCTCCTCCCCCCTTTTCTCCCAACAAGCATGTTGTAAGAGTTGACAAACTGGGGGCATCCTTGGAAGTCAGGGTGCATCTGCCTGAGAGGTTAAGGAAACAAAAGTCTACATACCAATAAGCCAGATCTGTAAAATGGATGTACATGCAACACTCAGGTTCTGAAACAAGTCTGGAGGTAGACGAACAACCAGAACTTTCCCCTGGAGTTTGCAAAACGTGAAGAAGAAGTATACAGACCCTCAGTTCCTCACCACTCAGGCAGATGCACACTAACTTTACAGGAAGCACCCCTAACTAGTCAGCCTTTACGACATGCTTGCTATGGAGGCAGTGGGCCTATTCTCTTCCCCCCCCCCCCCCCCCCCCCCCCCCCCCCAGTGGAGTCCTGAAACCCACAAGGGAAGCACCAGTTGATCAATGTTTGGTGTTTGGCCTGCAACACAGTTGTTAGTCAAACTTACTGTAAATTGTCCGTATTTTATTATTCTGTCATCCAGACACAGATAAACATCTACTGGCCCACAGAAGAGGAGAACTCCGAGAAGCTGTTTATATTTGAAAGTCAGGCCGACAGCAGTGGCAGGAAGGAGTTCATTAGTCAGTACCGGGTGAAGCTGATCAGTGAAACCGGAGACAAGACCTACATTCGTCGGGAAATGTTGCTGAGTAAAGAAGACAAGGATGGAAAGGTGAATTCTTTCTTCACTTTATTTTGAGCATTAAAAAAGAACAGTAGAAAAAGTACCCTCACAAGAGTACAGTAGAAAGAGTTCCCTCACAAAAATACAGTAGAAAGACTACCCTCACTGAAGTACAGTAGAAAAAGTACCCTCACAAAAATACAGAAGAAAGAGCACCCTCACAAAAGTACAGTAGAAAAAGTTCCCTCACAGAAGTACAGTAAAAAAAATTACCCTCACAGTAGAGAAGAATGTACCCTCACAAAAGGACAGTAGAAAGAGTACCCTCACAAAAGGACAGTAGAAAGAGTACCCTCACAAAAGAACAGTAGAAAGAGTACCCTCACAGAATTACAGTAGAAAGAGTACCCTCACAGAATTACAGTAGAAAGAGTACCCTCACAGAATTACAGTAGAAAGAGTACCCTCACAGAAGTACAGTAGAAAGAGTACCCTCACAGAAGTACAGTAGAAAAAGTACCCTCACAAAACTAGTGTAGGAGAAGTACCATTTTCACACCTTTGACACATTAGACATATGGTGCTAGACCCCTATTTTCTTATTGATCAGTCAATCCTTGGTAGATGATGTTTTGATCAGCATTGCGCTGGCTGCCTCTCTTTCCTAGGTCATATCCTGGTACCCATAACAGGCTGAGTCTCCTAGGAGCCCAGGTCAACTATTCAAAATTATAATTGAACCCAAGACCTTCAGGCTTAAGGCAAGCATTTAACCGCTGTGCCACCATGACGGGCTGAGTGGTTAGAATGCTGAGCTCTTGTGCAGGAGACCCAAGCTGAGTGTTGGAGATGTTTTCTGTCTGGTGCAAAACACAATTCCTAGCTTGCACAGTTTATACGACCTGCAATTCTCAGGCTCTGCCTGTCATTCACCACTGTAAACATTTGGCAAACACAGGCAGTAAAGACTGTTTACCATGGCTTTCCTGTATATGGTATTTTACAGTATGTTTATTTTGGGGGTGACCCTAGGTCAGTGACTCTCAACCTTCCTAATGCCGCGACCCTTTAATACAGTTCCCTCTTGCTGTGCCACCAAAATTTTTTTCCTTTTTAACTTCAATGAATATGTGTTTTCCGATGGTCTTAGGCGACCCCTGTGAAAGGTTCGTTCGACCCCGCCCAAAAAAAAGGGGTTGTAATTGACAGGTTGAGAACTGCTGGCCCAGGTGGACGTGTAAAATCTTCCTCAGTTGGGATTCAGACACATGACTACTAGACCAGCAGGCAAGCTGCTAGCTCTTTTCACATTCACCAGCTGTAAACTCCTGTGGAAAGTTCTGGTTGTGTGTCCACTTCTGGCCTAAATTTTTACAGATCTCACTTATTTGTATGCAGACAGTTGGTTCTTCATCTTTCAGGTGGATGCACTGTGACTTTGAAAGAAACACTCTTAGCTAGTCAACTGTTAGGATATGCTTGCTTAGGCGGGAGGGGGGGGGGAGGTCTGTTTCTCCTACAGTGGGAAACTATGCCAGTTCAGCTCTGCAGCTCCCTAGAGAAAAGTGTTTTATCTGCCAACTGCAGTCACTGCCCGTATTTAGGTAGGCGGGAGGGGGGTCTTTGAATCTGAGGATTTAGGGCCACATGGGAATCAACAACCTCTTGGAGTCTCTGCCCAGCCCTGGTCCGGTTGTTGTCCACTGCAGGTTTGGCTTCTCACATTTATTAAATATGCTCTTAGGTACTTCCATAAGTTTCCGTACATAGGATAGTGAAAACCATTTTTATTTATATAAGTTGAGTTGATCAAGAATCGTCATCACAGCACTCGGGTCACCCATAAGAGCTCTGTCCCCATCTTCAGCAGGCAGCGCAGAGTTCCAGTACTAATGGTGCAAGTAGCATTCTGATGATACATCTGTCTATCCTTTCCACTGTCGAGTATCAGCCAGATCCCCTTGTCACATACCAAGGCTATTCCAAAATCAACTCTGAATGGCTGGTAAAAACAAACCATTTGCCGTGGTGACACCTTTCATTGCTTGCATCATTCAGTAGTCTTTATCAAACTATAATCACATTTGTTTAGTGGTTCATGAATCACGACTGAATCAACATGGATGCTGTTTTTGTCTTTTCCACCAGTTATGAAATTTGTGATTTGTTTTCTTCAAGCAAAAGGTCAAAATACCATCGAGATTCATCATTGACTGTGTCAAGGTTACAGTGATAACGTTATAATTGACAGTTCTGTGAGGGATTAGGGGAGGAAATTCAGAGATGGGGGGGTCTTCGGTGACAAGGATGGACAAGAATGACAATCATGTGTGACAGATGAGCTTTTTCAAAAAGTTGTCCAAGTTCTAGTGGAAAAACACTGTTTTCACAATTTCAGATCTTTCTACAGAATTTCTACAAATTCCTAGGGCTAGCTGATAGATCTGATAAAAAGATTTGAAATTGTGAAACTTCGCTTTTCCACTATGACTTACTCGACCTCTTCTTCTTCTTCTTTTCGTTCACCGGCTGTGAATTTCGACGGAAGGTCCCGATAGTTCGTCCATTTGGACATTTGGCTTTTACCTGGACATGAGTTTTGCGTGTACATTCATTCGTTGATTTGTGATTTAAATAAATTATGAATTTCTTTGTTGCTTCTCACTCTTCATTCCCTGAAATTTGCATTTTTGATAGTTCCAAAGAATTGTCCTCAGCCTGTTAAAAAAAAATATTTTAGTGATGCTTCATCTCTTTTAGTTGTGCTTCAGGTTTCAGAGCCATATAAGACAACTGGTCTTATCAGCATTTCATATAATGTGATCTTGGTGTTTTACGGCATTTGATTTCAGCAGCTGTTGTAGGGCATAGTATATTTTATGTCTAGGCGGCTCTCTAAATTGTATCCCTCCTCTTAGTATGTTGTAGCTGTTGCAGTGTTTGACCCAAGCACTTGTATGTTTCTGTTTGTTTGAATGTGATATTATCAGTTTATTGAATTTTATGTTAGATATATTAAGTTAACAAATAGTAATGTTTTGTACGTTATCATAATCTGATGTAAACTCTGTAGTAATGCACCTGATAAGATAGTGAAATATGCGGACAATAAGTTGTGTAATATTGTTGTGTCTTCATTATAATTCACATTTGTCAGAAATGTGTCATTTTTGTGCATCATTATATGGAATACAAATCCCATAGTATGCACCCTGCAGAGTACAGCAAAATTTGCTAAAAATAAAGAATTGGGAGCAAAGATCGGCACAGTCAAGCATGATAGGCACAGTGGACATACAAGATTAACCTGCATGGGACTGGCACTATTAACTATAGGATGCCAACGTATATGTTGAAGGGCGAATCTTAGCAGCTATAGATGTATCCAGGGTGCTGTAAAGATAACCCAACTCATAACTCACAGATAAATATGCTAAGCAAAATATAATGCAATGTGTAAGTGGCTTGTAAAGAAAATTAAACAAAAAGACCTTTATTTTACGCCAAGTGTCCTTCAGGCATATAATGATAGACTTATATTTTTATAGCCCAGTTGGCACTCTGTGGATGATAGGGTTAACAGCTTGCTGGCCACATTTACCTCCCAGGACATTTCCAGGTACCTTTTTTAGGTTAGTCAAATCCGCTCGGTACCAAGACTTTTAGTCCAGCAGGCGAGCATATAGCCACTATGCTACTACACGGGTATGTTGAGCAAGCAGGAGACACTCTGATGGCTGCTGAATTGGAGGACGGAGCACGAGTGGGTCAAACCAGTGTGCTAGGATGTTGATAGAGAAAGCAGGTAACTATGCTGCTGCGTGGGTATGTTGAACAAGGAGATACTGAGATGGCTTCTGCATCCGAAGACTGAGCACTAGTGGGTTAGACAGATGTGCTAGGATGTTGATAGAGAAAGCAGGTAACTATGATGCTGCGTGGGTATGTTGAACAAGGAGATACTGTGATGGCTGCTGAATTGAAAGACGGAGCACTAGTGGGTTAGACCGATGTGCAAGGATGTTGATACAGACAAGTAACTACGCTGCTGCGTAGGTATGTTGAACAAGGAGACACTGTGATGGCTGCTGCATCCAAAGACGGAGCACTAGTTGGTTAGTCTGATATGCTAGGATGTTGATAGAGAAAACAAGTAACTACGCTGCTGCGTGGGTATGTTGAACAAAGAGATACTGAGATGGCTTCTGCATCCGAAGACGGAGCACTAGTGGGTTAGACAGATGTGCTAGGATGTCAATACAGACAGCAAGTAAATGTGCTACTGCAGCTATACTGTTTGTGCCCTCATTATAATTGTCATTTGTCAGAAAGGTATAATTTTGTGCCCTCATTATAATTGTCATTTGTCAGTAAGGTATAATTTTTGCCCTCATTATAATTGTCATTTGTCAGAAAGGTATAATTTTGTGCCCTCATTATAAGTGTCATTTGTCAGAAAGGTATAATTTTGGTCCCTCATTATAAGTGTCATTTGTCAGAAAGGTATAATTTTGTGCCCTCATTATAATTGTCATTTGTCAGAAAGGTATAATTTTGTGCCCTCATTATAATTGTCATTTGTCAGAAAGGTATAATTTTGTGCCCTCATTATAATTGTTATTTGTCAGAAAGGTATAATTTTGTGCCCTCATTATAATTGTCATTTGTCAGAAAGGTATAATTTTGTGCCCTCATTATAATTGTCATTTGTCAGAAAGGTATAATTTTGTGCATCTGTTTTCAGGCTTTGATTGTGACATTGACATTTTCAAGACGATCCTGATGGTGCGAGGGCAAAGGTCAGGGCTGGTTCAGACCCAAAGCCAGTACCAGTTTGTCTACCTGGCCGTCCAAAGATACATGGAGATAGAGAGGCAGAGACAGCTCGCCGGACAGGTCAGTTCGTTCATGTTAAGTCATCATCATTATCTATCCATGAGGGTTCTAAAAGGGAAAAATTGACCCACTTCCCCTCAAGCATTGATAAACTAATTTTTTTAAAGCATCCCTGAAGAAGCATCATCGTCATCAGACTTCATCTCCTTAATGATGATTGGCTGCATTGGATCTCCAACACACTCTTATCTCTCAGTGTGGTTGTACACTCTCTGAGACTAATTTCTGTCCATCTCTTGATGTTGTCCTCACATTTGTATCATTGTCTACCTCTTCCTGTCCTGAATTCATATTTTCTCTTGAGTATGAAATTTAAAAGAGTGTTATGTCCTTTAACCCTATTGCCACATAGAATAAGTAAAGTAAAAGTAAAGGTCCCCTTTTCCATGCATTTAGACCTATATTTTTTATAGACCAATTAACACAAGATGGGTGATGTGGTCAGCATCACGTTGGCCGCCCTTACTACCCGAGACTGCACCCGGTACCCACTCAAGGCCACATAGAATACCAGTTTATTACTAAATCATTGGTATGCATATGAGATACATTTGTGCCAGTTAGTTATGTGTCCAATCAGTATTAGATGGCATTGTTGAAGTTCTTGTTGCTCAGTTTTTAAAAATATGCTTGGTTGAAGGTGCATCTTTGATGGGTCCAAAGATTCGTCGTAAGACTGTTTTCAAATACATGTAATAAGGCTTCATCTCTTTTAGTTGTGTTCCAAGTTTCAGAGCCATGACTGGTCTTATCAGCGTTTTTTATATTTTGATCTTGGTGTTGCGAGACAGACGCTTTAACTCTAGCTGATTTTGAAGGGCCATCCTAAATCGAGTCTTAGATAGTTAATTATTTACCAGATTTTTATATCAGAAGATGTTAAAGTTCTAGGTGCTGATTGGTCTGTGGATGCTAATGTGGAATTGGCCGGCTGCAGTACAACCTGGTCAGACCACAGGCCTCACAGACCAAAGGCAAAGGTCATGGGTTTGTTTCACGAATACCATGTTCACAGGTACAGTTTTTACCTGGATCCATGGCGATCATCGCTTGAGCCATGAAGTTTGTGCTTTACGCAGCATTTAGCACAGACCAAACCACATAGGATAATTCAATGAAGTTAATCCTCCCGGCTTTCATTTTAATTGCAGAGTGTCGCTGGCAGAGAGTACACCAACATTAAGTATGCCACGGGAGCAGTAGAAGCTGCAAAGAGAGCCCAAGCAGCTGGAAATGTGCCCCCTCCAGTACCTCCTTTACCACATCCAGGCGCCCGGAGGAGATTAGTGAAGTCAGTATTTTCTGCTGTTATCGTCGTCATCATCCTTATCTTCATCATCTTTGTCATCATTATTATGATTAGCATACTCCATAGCTCATCTGTGGAACCAACTTCCAATGACAAGTTTCAGTAGCCCTATAAATACGATCAGAAATTGTTTGAGCACAAAGTCACGAGTTCCTCATGGATGGATGCTTTTGTGATGAGCGTGAATTTTCATCCCAACACTCCACCTCCACAAGAGAAACTGGACTTATGTCTGAGTAGAGTTAATACTAGACATAGTCCTGGCTATTCAAGAAACAGCCAAATTTGGCTTGTAGTATAAATTAATAGTAGGATTGTTCGAGCAACCAAAGACTGGGACTCTGGTTGTTGGTAAAAGGAACTGGAGTCACATCTACTGGAGATGAAATCCGACCGGACAAGGAATGAACCTCTCAATGACAACCCAGAGATCACCAGATGCCTAAAGCAGCCTGCGTTGCCGAAGGAAAAGTTTAAAACGATGCCTTCCTCTTGGTCAGAGGTAAAAGAAGTTGTGAAAAGAGCCATCTGCAAATCTGCCCCAGGACCTAGCGGTATCCCGTTAGTGGTGTACAAACGCTGTTCAAAAGTCCTCCGAATGCTTTACCGCTTGCTAAGGCTACCATTGAGCTAAACGTGCATATGTACCGAGTGGCAGAAAGCCAACAGAGTCTACATTCCCAAGGAGCGAGACGACTCCAGTCTGTCCCAATCCAGATCTATCTCACTGCTGCACGTTGGGGGCAAGATATTCTTCTTGTTTATGGCACGCAGGCTCACACAGTATTTGATGGAGAACAAATATATTGACACAACATTGCAAAAATGTGGCATTCCGACGTCCCTGGGCGTTTTGAGCATGCGACCATGATCTTGGAGAGTATCCAGAGAGCTAAGGCAGAGAGAACGGATTTGCATGGGATATGGTTGGACCTCGCCAACACTTCTGGGGCAGTACCCCATAAGCTATTATGTCAGGCCCTTCACATGTTCCACGTGCCAACAGTTTCCTGAAATGATCTAGCAATATTTCTCAGAGTTTGACATACGCTTCTCCAGCCCCAGGTTTACTACGAGGTGGACTGAGCTCCAGGCTGAGATAGCAATGGGGTTACGATTTTGCCAATACTGTTCTTAATGGCTTTTCAGATCATGTTAGACGGGGCTGCCCAGTACAGACAAAGCCTTCAAATTGGGGGACCACTGGATGCTGCCACTGTGTGCATTTATGGATGACACAACTATCATAACGGGCAGTGAGGATTATGCCTGTGTTATTCTGAAGAGGGTGGACTGTGTTGTCGAACTGTGCTGCATGCAGTTCAAGCCACAGAATTCAAGACATTTGTCAGTCCTAAAAGGTAAGGTGGCAGCAGCGCCAGTTTCACGGTGGCAAAGAAAAGGATCCCCACGGTTCTAGAGCCTCTGCTGTTTCTACGATTTGAAGTTATCTTATAGTTCGGAAGTCCAGCATATACCTGAGTCACTGGCAACAGACCTGCTTGTTATTGAGCTATGCAGGCTGATTGGGAAGTTCAAGGTTTGGTGTCTGCAGTTCATGTTGATTCCAAAGCTCCTCTGGCCACTGCTCCTGTACGAGGTAACCATGACTGCAGTGGAGACTATAGAGAATAAATTCTGCACTGCCATAAGGAAGTGGCTTGGGGCACTGCCCTGCTGACCGATGTGGCCTTGTATTGTATGCAGGCTAAGCTGGTACTTCTGTTCAAATCAGTAATGGAAAGTTAAAAGTCGACAAGATAAGACTCGCATTGATGCTACACGAGTCTTCAGACCCCATGGTGGCAGCTGCCCAGCCCGCTGTAAAGACAGGTCTGAAATGGAAAGTCCTAGATAGAATCTGCTCAGAAAGCACTGAAGTTGAAGGAAGTCATGGGTTACACACAAACCGACAGATGCAGCCTAGGGCATGAAAAAGACACTTGGTGGTCCAAAGCCTCAGAAAAAGAATGCAGAGACATGGTAATACAGCAGATAAGGGACACAGAAAACGAGACTCGGGTCCAAAAAGCTGCTCAACAGTCGCAGCAAGACCAGTGGATCTGATTTTTGTGTTTTTGTATTGCGAAGCTTTTCTTGGTTAATGATGATCGTTAGTTCATTAGTTTTTCCTCTTCGCCTTTTGTGGCACATAGGGCACAGGTCATAGCTTTTCCTGTCTGGCGGTTCATTGCCACCTGTTTTAGGTCTTGGATTTTTATTAGGTCCATGGTTAAGTCTTCCCAGATAATGGTTCTACACAGGGTCTCTCTTGGTCTTACCCGTCTTCGGTTCCCTTCTGGTTTTGAACGAAGCATCATAACATTTAGAGCTAGAAATCTGATTCTAAAACAGAGGATGTTTTACAATGGCGGCTTGTTGGGTCGTTGATCAACAGTCTTAGCTAGAGGGAAACGTCCCACCATCTTGACCCATCAATGATGATTTACCTTATACTGTTTCTCACAGTTGCTATTTACTGAGCATGTTGAGAAAGGTGAAAACAGGCATGCTTCATCCAGAGTGGCAAGCATCACTTCAGAGGTCCCGGGTAGTTAGCATCCTTTGGATATTTTCTCCAGGTCATGCCGGTGTGTTGGGAAATGAGCAGGCAGATAGACTGGCTGGCTCTGCACCACTTGGAGGTGAATTGATGTATGACAAATTAGATATTGTGAGGGCTCTTTAGGAGCGAGTGAACAGTGCGGAGGCGTAGATAGGTCTTTACGGTCTAAGTAGAATGGCGCTGCGAGGAGTTACCAAGGGATCTGGCCAAAGATCAACACTCAGGGGAAGGATGAGATGGATATAAGATCAGATGGCTACTTGTACCATCAGAATTGGAATGCTTCACTTGTTGCTGAAGATGGGGGACTGAGCACTTATGGGAGTGTCCCGAGTGCTGTGATGTCGATTCTTAATTCAACATTCAACTACATTCATTCATTTGACAGTTGCTATAACAAATTATGGATTGTCCTATAATAACTTTTGCCTTTATTCTAACAGACTGCCACCAGACGATTCAGCCATGCAATACCAGAACATCCACTCCCTTGATGTATCCTTTGCTTGAAGGCAAAACAGCTTCAGAAGAAAATTCAGGAAAGGTGTACCAAAAGCTGAAACAGTTCGCAGTCTGTTGTTGATAGATTTTTTAGCTGAGTTGACCTTGGTTGCTTCCTGTGCTTCATGCAACGATCATGTATGTGTGTACCTGTGTGTGTGTGTGCGTGTGTGGAAGGACTTTAAATACTTTTAAATATAGTAGGACTTCAATTGTCTGGCTCATGATTGTCTGGCTCATGATTGTCTGGCTCACGATTGTCTGGCTCACGATTGTCTGGCTGATGATTGTCTGGCTCACAATTGTCTGGCTCACGATTGTCTGGACTCTGTATTATCTGGTCTAGTTTTTAAAAAAAAGTCTTCACACTTTTATCTCAGGCCAACCTCTTCCCATTTGTTTAATTAGTTATCGGTAAACAGTTTGAGAAAAAGTTTACATAATTAAGTAAGTCAACTTTTTACGTTACCCTTTTGCTCATTTTAAATGCGTCTGTATTGATACTGTGTGGTGTACATGATTTTAATTTTCTTGCAGTTAAGACAAATAACGATCATGTGTGTATCTCAAAATGTTAACAGTATTTTTATTTTTGGACTTCCTTACCCCCTCCCCCGTAACAAAATGCACAATTAAATTCATGAAAACATTATAAAGTACTGTCCTGTACTAAGAGGTCAGAAAATATGAATAAGTGCTAGTTTGGGTATAAAAAAGGTGTTGTTTAATTATATGGGTGGGTAGAAACAAAGTATTTGTAAAAAATCCAAAATATCCAGCTTTTTTTTAGTATCCTGCCTACCCCTCTAAGACATTAGGCTGGACATTGCTGAGTTTGCTGTTTATTTTTTTTTTTTCATTTGACATGGATATTCACAAACATCAGAAATTCACTTTTGTTTGTTAAATCGCAGCAGTTAGAGTTTGAGACGGTTAACGTTCGAAGCACTAACCAATTTGAATAATCACAAGTGGACATTGTACTTTATTTTTTTTTACTTTAATCATAAAAGTTATAGAAGGTCAGTGGTACGTGCCCTGTGGAGAAACTTAACTATCCTAAACTTTATAGAAGTTCCTTAGTACATGCTGCATGGTAAAATGACTACTATAAACATTACAGAAGGTCCACAGTGCATGTTTAGTGGGGGAACAACTACTATAAATATTACAGGTCCACAGTGCATGCTGAGGGGGGGGGGGGGGGGGGGGCGGGGGGACTAACTACTGTAAACATTACAGAAGTTCCTTATTCCACTTACTTGGTTCGCAAGTGAGCTTCTAGCCGCTACACCATGGCGGCTTTGGTTTATTTCAGTGCACCAGATTTGTTAGTTATTTCATTACACTGGGCTCGTTGTTCATTTCAGTACACCAGGTTTATCAATTATTTCGGTACACTGGGCTCGTTGTTCGTTTCAGTATACCAGGTTTGTCAATTATTTCATTACACTGGGCTCGTTGTTCATTTCAGTACACCAGGTTTGTCAATTATTTCATTACACTGGGCTCGTTGTTCATTTCAGTACACCAGGTTTGTCAATTATTTCATTACACTGGGCTCGTTGTTCATTTCAGTACACCAGGTTTGTCAATTATTTCATTACACTGGGCTCGTTGTTCATTTCAGTACACCAGGTTTGTCAATTATTTCATTACACTGGGCTCGTTGTTCGTTTCTGTACACCAGGTTTGTCAATTATTTCATTACACTGGGCTCATTGTTCATTTCAGTACACCAGGTTTGTCAATTATTTCATTACACTGGGCTCGTTGTTCATTTCAGTACACCAGGTTTATCAATTATTTCATTACACTGGGCTCGTTCATTTCAGTACATCAGGTTTGTCAATTATTTCATTACACTGGGCTCGTTGTTCATTTCAGTACACCAGGTTTGTCAATTATTTCATTACTCTGGGCTCGTTGTTCATTTCAGTACACCAGGTTTGTCAATTATTTTATTACACTGGGCTCGTTGTTCATTTCAGTAGTACATTTTTTAGTAAGCTCAAAAGAACTCATGTAGAATTATCAGAAACCGCTTGATTAATCTGATTTTTTTTTAGTGACACTTCAGCAAGACACGCATTAACACTCTCTGCTAGGCATCTTTTAAAAGGTGCGTAGTCCATAAAATTTGTAAGACAAATCTGTTTTCTTCTTTTTTGTTTACATGTAGGGCGGTTGACACATTGTGTTGTGGTTTACAGCTAGATGGTGATATCTGCACCTTCTGGTCCAGCACAACCAGTTTCAGCAAACCCTCAACAGGTCACTGTTTATGACATGCATGTTGAGGGGCAAATGCAGAAGAAACAAGATTTGTTAATCTTAGTCTAAAATATTAAATTCACAGGGTCTCCCATAAGTTTTGGTACATAGGAAAAATAAACACAACACCAAGGCCATTACAAACATGTCTCCAGTTGTGTTTATACCAGTTCAGCAGAGGAGGACATGATTCTAAATGTGTTTTCAACACAGTAGGGGCTTTTGAGCTGAAATGCTATAGAAAGATTATCAGAATATCTTGGGCAAAGAAGAGGAGAAATACTGACATCTTGAAAGATATATCAAGGAAGATTGGCTAATATACAGCATCCTGTCTCAGAAGCTGAAATGTTTTGGTCATATCAAGTGCCACGATGGATTGGAAAAAATAATAGCAGAAGGCAATGTACCAGGAAGGAGATGCAGGGGCCGACCAACACGAAGATGGGCACAGGATATAAGTGACTCCTTGAGTATGAAAGTGCATGAGGCGGGAGAGCTGGAGAGAGATCGAGTTTCTTTCAGGCAGACCGTGATGAGAGCGACGTTCTGCAAAGGACCTGATACATGATAATGATGATGAGTTGTCATCTAGTGCATATGAAATAAATTAAAATGGTTTCCATAACAAATGTTTATTATTGCTATGTATGGAAACTTTTTGTGGGACACCTTGTATTTAAAAGGAGGACTTTAAGCCTGTTTCCTGATGTTTCCGACAATATGCTCCCCAGATTGTATTAGATATGTTGCTTTATTATGTTTCTTGTATACTGTATTTAAAAAAAATCCTCATTAATGCTTATGTTTTGAAAATAGCTTTTTGCTGATTACTTTTAATCGTAGCCTGGCATCCGGAGAGTTGGTTGGCACCATTTTTTTTATTTTTCTTATGATTTTGTGTCTCTTAATCATATTCTGGTGTTTCTGGCAAAATTCCATGTTTTCATCATTAAATTAAAAATACAATGGAAACTATGGCTGTAACAAGGGCTTTAGCATGGCTTGGTACTCAAAAGTTCACAAACGTATGCTTTTTTAGTGACTCGATGAATATGCTTAAAAAAAATCCAAGCTGGATTTATCAGGCAAGGATGGATTGAAACACTAAGCACTTCAGGAATATCTGCCCTAACCTTCATTTTTGTGCCAGGTCATGTGGGTGTTCAAGTGAAAGAGCGTGCAGACTATCTTGCTGACACCACAGTTGCTGTGGCTGGCCCAGTACTGGACAGAAGTGATGTTATCAATGCTATGCACTGCACTTACCATACAGAGGAGCACGCCAAAGGACATGACTCCATATCCCTGTCTAGACTGATGGACATGATGGTGCAGCCTGGAGCTGCAAGAAATGAACATTTCACCAAGAGGATAAGACGTTTCATTAACCAACACAGAACAGGCGTCATCAGTCGTTTTACACTTGTGGAGCTTTTGAGGAGGAGATCGGAGCACCCATGGATCTGTCCAGAGTGCTGTGATGATAATCCTGTCTAAACACTAATCACTATTGAAATTATACTTTTTAATAGCTAATGTCAATAATGTAAAGACCAAGTGATAATCAAAAGGGAAGTGTTCATATCTGTATCTGTCTGAGAGGCAAGAAATGAACAATCTACATACAAATAAGCTAGATATGTAAAATGGATGTGTACGCAAAACCAGAACTTTCCGCTGGTGAACACAAAGAAGAAGAAGAAGAAATAGTTTAGGCAACACCAGAAACAAGTATGTCGTTTGTAACTGCGAACGCAGAGTGGTGATTTTAAATTCTTCTTCACCACGTTCTGTAAACTCGGCAGAAAGTTCATCCACTTTTGACTGTTCCAGAAACTGTGTTGTGTGCACATTCGTTTCACAGGTCTGACTCATTTACATGCAGACTGTTGGTTCCTTGCCTCTCAGGCAAATGTACTCTGACTTCGAAGGAAGCTCCAAATTAGTCAACTCTTACAACATGCATGTTGGGGCGGCAGTGTGTCTGTTCTTTTTTCCCTACAATAGGGCCTTGGAATCCACACGGGGAGTGATGTTGATTTTATAGGTTTAGACGATAGATCATCATCATAGCACAAGGGTAGTAACCCATAAGTGCTCCGTTATATTTCTAACTCAAGCCTAAGTCCAAAGAATCTCATCACAGTGCATGAACTCCGTAGCACCGATGAGGATCCTGAAATACTTTCGGTAGATTTGTGACTCCAAATTTTGCACCGCTGTTAGGCTGCTCTTTTCGATTTGCAACTGCCAAGGTTTTTTTTTTTTTGCATTCACAACGATACACACGGGCATACAATCTTACTACCCAGACCAGAGGAAATTACTTAAAGTCCATGTGAAAAAATCCCAGCCTTCACCGGGGCTTGAACCCGGGACCTTCAGCACTCGATGGGGACGCCATGCCTCGAGACCATGTAGCCCCCTGTTGATTTAAACAATAGCATAACACCTCTGTGCAAACCTATGATTGTGCTTCAGGTTTCCACACATAAGAACAATAAACACATCAGTACCGTTACAAGCATAACTCCAGCTGTGCTTATACATGTACTTCAGCAGTAGAAGTCGCACATCAAAATGTGTTTTAAAAGCAATGGTAGAGCAGTGGTTCTTGCGAATGTATGCCAGGTGTGCCGCGGCTATTATCAAGGGAAGTCGGCTATGAATTGAAAATATTAAAGAAGGCATGAAGATACCTAAAAGTTAAAATTTAAGTTGTCTTACCTTGC